CAGAGAGAGCTCGATCCGTTACAGAACTTTGAAACTCTGTTGATTTCAACACTGACAAACTTTCGCTTATATAAGCAATTCGAATTTCTTCAGATGCACTTTTGTAAGTCCCTCAAGATGCTTTTATTCTAAATATTATTCCCTGCAGGTGTGACTTATGATCATAAAATAGCCATATATATCTTCAAAAAGGCTGACTTAATGAAATTGCGGCGGCCAGGGCGAAAAAAGTGATTTTCAAGGTTGATATATTAGATGTTCAGGCGACTAAAATGTCATCTTCTTCAGCGCCTTGGCGCAGTGGAAGCGCGCAGGGCTCATAACCCTGATGTCCCTGGATCGAAACCAGGAGGCGCTAGATTTTTTTTGATCCTTCAATATCTGATTTTTTGACTATTTGATTGGATAAGACTATATAGATGAGGCTTAAATTAGTACATAATTTTTTACTGGAAGGTTTAAGAGTTCTTTGTTGAAAAAAGTTCTGTCTTTTTGTAATATTCTCGTTTGATTATTGAGCGCTTTCGTGAGAGCGTGGCCTGACTATTTTAAGCGAACAAAAAGAACCACGTATCTTGTTCAACAACTGAAAAACAATTTATTTCAGAAATAAACTGATTCACTGATTCACTAATAATTCAGTTACATTAGCATATAATCAAAATGGTATGTGATATATTGGCAAATGGTGACGCAGATAAGCGAACCTCAATACCTGATAAGATATGGCTTATTGATATCAATTAATCAACTTGAGAAGATTGAAGTGTTGCAAACGCGATCATTATGATGTTTCTTTAAATGTTGTTTATACTAACAGTATTATTTATAGGCTGTCCAAACTCCAAAACAACGTATTGCAAACGAAAAATACTACAAGAAAAATGAAAAACAAAGAGGTAAAGCTAAACCACCTGCAAAGAAAGAATTACCAATTTCCAAAGGTTGGTTGTGTAAGTAAACAAATGAATAGGTGTGAAACAAAAGATGATTAATATTTTCATAAGCTAGAGTTCGAAAATTTATGTGAACGATTTGATCTCTGGAAAGATGTGGTTTTCGTCAAAGTTATCAGTGTCATAATAGCTGATTCATTAATCTCTTCACTAAAATTCCAATTTTTGTACCTTCCATAGTGTATACTAACTATTTACCCCAGATCTTTTAGCATTTTTGGTTGCTGGTGGTGCTATCTTAGAAGTTATTCGTATCTTCGTCTAGGAGACTTAATAAATGAGCCCATTACTCAAATTTTGCATAACCAATCATCACTATAAAAAGACGGCTTACATTACACAAATTTGAAGTTGAAGTTGATTTATCATTAAGGAAAAACAAATGTTTTGTCGAAAAAGCTCATAGTTTTCAGTTCACTGTACAATAATTTTGAAAGTCAAACATCTCTTAATAAATTGTTTAATTATCTTGTTTTATCCATGATTTGTAGTTTTTCATTTTAGTTGCATAGTAGTTTCGCTCTTCATGTTAATTGTCGTGCGCGTTTCGAGGTAGTCGTTTTTTCAAAATAAGGAGGAAAACAACAACTCCACATTAAAAGACTTTGAACTCACCAAAGAACAGAACAACAACTTTGGAAAATCCAGTCAAATAATCCAAATAAGATGTTCAGAAATACTTTGGCTAAGGGAAGGTTGATTCAGGTGAGATTTCAATCTTCGAATATCTTGAAAAGTGATATCAATATTACCAGAACTGGGGATGTCAAAATTGCAGTTGGTCATAATGGTCGTTCTTCAAGAACTGGTTATACTGCAACTGTTTTCGGTGCTTCAGGGTTCTTGGGACGCTACTTGACTTCAAAATTAGCCAAGAATGGTACTATCACAGTTGTTCCATTCAGAGATGAATTGAAATCTAAATTTTTGAAAGTTCCTGGTGATTTAGGTGTTGTTAATTTTGTGGAGTTTGATATTAGGAATCTTGAATCTATCAACGAAGCTGTTAAGTATTCGGATATTGTCTATAATTTAATTGGTGTTGACTATGATACAAGAAATTTCACTCAAGCAGATGTAAACATTGAAGCGGCTAGAAGAATTGCACAAGCAACAAAAGATCATGGTGTTCCAAGATTAGTTCATGTTAGTTCCTATAACGCTGATCCGACTGCTGATAATATCTTTTTTGCCACAAAAGGTCATAGTGAAGCTGCTGTACGTGCCATCTATCCAGATGCTACAATTGTTAGACCAGCCCCAATGTATGGTAGAGAAGATAAATTATTAAATGTTTTAGCTGAAGTTACCTCATTCTTTACTTTTAACCACAACAGAGAAACTCTTTATCCTGCTCATGTATTGGATGTTGCAACTGCATTAGAGAAAATTGGATTTGATGATTCAACAACTGGTCAAACTTTTGAGTTATATGGACAAGAGCAATTTTCAATTAAACAAATTAGAGATTTGATTGAACCAGTTACTAGAAGAGACTATAAGAATTTAAATGTTCCAAAAGACTTGGGCTTACTGTTATCAAAAGTCTTACCAGGTTTCTTATGGCCAAGTCAAGATCAAATCAATAAGAAATTTATTGATCAAAATATCGATACAACTGCTAAAACTTTCGATGATTTAAAGATTGTACCAGATAGATTACAAGACCTTGTTTTCAGATATACTCACGACAGAAGAACATATTTGCATGCCCAAGATTTACCACCTACTGAAAAAGAACTCAGAGAAAAGAGAGAGACTGTGAGTGTTCTTGATTGATCAGGTAATTTTAAGCTGTTGGGATCTTTGTAGATCCGATTATTTATTATATTTATACTATTTATATTATTTATTTATTTATTTATTTATTTATTTATTAAACTCATAACATATTATTCAAATACACAATTGAAATTGATGAATTTCATTCGATATATATTTCATTGAATGCGACCTTTAATCTTTATGTGCGTATGTAAAACCTACTAGATCCGAAAAGAAAAACAAAAAAAAAGTTGACATATAAGTCAAAACAAAAGATTTATTCAACTATTATAAAGAGCAATGTCAACTTTAGAGCCACAAACAAGTGCTAAAGCTAGGATACATACAACCAAAGTTCCAATCGACGTTGAGTTATGGGCAAAAGAAGCACCAATTACGTGTCGCATCTTCCTCACAAATGTCTTGAATCAAAAATTTAATGGCTGGTTATTCAACAGAGTTTTAACAAATTTTATCGTTCAGGTTGATGGTTTATTGAATCAAGAGTTACATGAAGATGAATTCAACTCAAGGATAAGATTTAACAAACGTGGATATCTAGGATCAATTAATCTAGGTTCCAGAAATTCAAACACAGGAAAGTTTTTCATCACTTTAAAAGATACACCAGAATTAAACAATAAAAATACCATATTTGGTAAAGTTGTTGGCGATTCAATATTCAACGTCATCAAAATAAGTGAAGGTGAAGTATCTGATGATGGGGAAACTCCATTATACCCTGTAAAAATCACTAAAAGTGAAATATTGGTGCCATACTTTGATGATCTAGTGAAAGAAGAGGTATCTGATAAACAACCAAAAGAAACAAATTTGAAAAAAACTAAAAAGAAGAAGCCAAAAGTGAAGCTTAGCTTAGGAGTCGATGGGGAAGAAGGAGAGGAAGATACAGAGCCAGTAAAGAAGATCAAAATGAAAAGTGCACATGAATTGTTAAATGATAAGAAATTATCAAAAGAAGAAGCTAAAGTTGAAGAAACCCCCTCACCACAAGCTGTGTTAGAAGATAAAGAAGAGAGTCTTAAAAAAGTGAAGGATGATGTTAGACTTGAAGATAAAGCTAGAAATGAGGAGCTACAAAAGTTACAAGAAGAAATTGAAGCTAAAAAGTCAGCACTTGAAGAAGATAGCAAGACACCAGAACCAGATAATAACTCCAACAACAAGAAGAAAGGTAAATCAGATAAACAACTCAGAGAATTAGAGACTTTGAAGCTATTAAATTCGTTTAAAAATAAGATTGGAAATTCAACACATAATGATAGAAGTACAAAGAAAGACATTAATGATGAGAAAGAACATTTTTCAGATCGTGATGATGATTTCGATAATTTGGATGATTCAGATTCAGATACTGATATATACAGTCATTCTTTGAAATTTGAAGATAATGAAAAGAATAAAGACATAGCAAATGAAGATCTTTTGATAACTATTGACGATGCTAAGGATCGTGAATTGAAGAAAAGAAGGAATGACGATTTCTATAAAAATCAAGAATCTTCATCAATTTTACAGAAAAAATTCAAAAGATAGATGTTATTAATGTTTTATTATTTGAACTCAATGTTCCTCTATGTAGTCACCATCTTCATCATCATTATTGGCTTCTATAAGACCAAAATCCTCTTCATAATCTTCCATTTCTTGATCATCACTATCATTTGAGTTATTCCCTCTTTCTTTGAATTTGAAAATATCAACTGATTTATTATTATTCCCACTTCTTGTTCTTTTAGAAATAGTTTTCCCATTTTTACTAATTTGATCAAATTTTTCTAAAGTTGGAAGTAAAGAATTTAAATAATTGAACAGATTATTTAATTGTTTAGATCCCTGCCTAGATAATTTCAATGATAAATGATCTAAGAACTTCTTTAAGCTTTCAACATCACCACAAACTTCATACCATGGGTCTAATGGATCATTAGTATTTGGTTCAACTTCTGGATTTAATTGATGATTAACATTAGTCAACATTGTAGTAATATCTTGAACATAAAGTTTAAATCTTGTAGGTGGCTCATCATATGTTATCTTCTCAACGGGTCTTTCATCTTCAAGTAAGTTTTTCAAATCTTCATAACCACCAACTGGACCTGTTTGTTCATTTGATTGACGACACAGATAAAATCTACCATTTAACCCACCATCACCAGCATAGAATGTCAAGAGCCTTAAAGCTAATGGATGTTTTGATGATGGAAATGAAGGATCAGCAAAGTTAATCGTGCTTTTTTCAATCTCTGATGTAGTTGATGAGTTTTCCTCATTTTCAGGAGTTGTAGTTTTAGATACCAAATTTGATTTTTTGGTTGATTTTTGCCCTTGTTTTTGATAATGTTGAATAGATTGTTCCAATGATTTCATACCCTCTTTAGCAAATCTTGATGCATAATAAGTTTCTTTCTCCAATGATTGTTCTTGAGCTTGAAGTTTAGTAGTGATTTCATTCTTGATGATATCTGAATTTGCTAAACACCAATGGACTAAACTTCTTAATAAGATTAAACGATCTTTAGGTTTTAAAGCATTCAATCCTTCTTCAAGTAAATCATCATTATCAATTGGTAAATCAGGTAAAGGTGAAGCTGTACCAAATTCACGGAAAACATTATCAAATAATTGTGTATTTGAAGGATCAACAGGTTCAGTATCAGTTTCTTTTGTAATCTTTTCAGCATTAAAAATTTCAGAATCATCCCTCCATTCTTTTGGAAGACCCCAATTATGAGCAGAAACTCTAAGAAATTTGATAGCAGCTTTATAATTACTTGGTGTTAATTCATTCTTTTTGTTCATCGTTAGACTCACTAGCTTTCTGAATAATTGCTCCAAACGAAGTTCATTATCTCTATGTGATTTTGTTTCATCAAATAATTGATCAACAGTTTTTTGTTTGACATTATCTAAGGAATATTTTGTTGAAGGACGCAATCCTAAACCTTCCTCAATATTTTGGGGACCTATATCAATGAAATCTCCCAATACAGATTGAAATTTGTTGATAAATTCTAAAATTGTTATTATATCTTTAGCGTAAGGAGCAGGTATAACTTCAAATCCTAAAGCTATCTTATTTAAATCTTCATCAGTTGAAGAAATTGTTGATGAAATAGTTTCAGGATCATAAATATCATGATATACACCAACAAGAGGACCTGGTGGATCTTTTCTCTTCTTGATTGGTGTTTGCTTTTTCTTGTTTTTGTTTGAATGAGGTACAAGACCTAATTTATCAAATGCATTTTTATTAAAATCATCTTTTGCTGTACTTCTTCCTTTTGATTTTAATGAATGATAATCTTCTAATATGATTTTAGGTTCTGATTCATTAGGTTTTTCATTTGAAGATTTTTTGATTTCATCTATTACTATTAGTTCATCATCATTATTTTCACCATTATGAGTTTCTTCTTTATTATCAAGAGATATAACCGTAGGTTTTGACTTTGGTTGAAGATAAGAAGGTTTTGTCTTTTTTAAAGAAGGTTTATCACTTGAGTTTTCATCATTTTCATTTTCATCATCATCATCATTAACGGTTAATTTCAAATTTTTTGAACCTTTTTCAAACTTGAATTGTCTTCCAGGTTTTGATGCAATAGATCTAGCTGATCTTTTCCTACCACCTCTTGAACCAGGACCTGTAACAGGTTTGGAGTCAACTCTAAATCTTGATAATATACTTTCGTTCAAATTTTGTGAAGAATTTGTTGATTGTGCAATAGAAATATCTGGAGATTTTGAATTTGTTGGTGTTGATACATGTTTTCTTGGTCTACCTAAACGACGAGTACCTTCGTTAGAAGCAGGATTAACAACCACAATACTGACTTGTGAGCTTGAATCATGAATAATTCTTTGTTTTGGTTGTTTCAAACTTGATGATACTGATTCTGTAAATTCTTCACGATTTTCATCTTCTAAATTTGATAATGTATCCTGTATAAAATTTAAAGACTCTCTATACGGTATTTGCTTTTGTGAATTACTTGGATGTGTGTTTTTTGTACTTGGTGATTGTTGATTATGAGATGATGTCGATGGAGATTGCGGATGTGATGGAGTTGTATTCTGATGATGATGTGGAGGAGGTGATGTAGTATTTGAACCTTCATTATGGCCTTGTAAATGATTAAAGTTTATGATATTTGACAAGTTTGCAGCAGCAGCAGCAGCGGCGGCGGCGGCAGCGGCAGAAGCGTCAGAATTTGTATTATTTGAATGGTTATCTTCGATATATTGTTGATTTATGAAATCATCATGAACTTGTTGATTATCATCATTTTGAGGATGGAAATCATTATTGATTGAAAACTTTGTGAATATCCCGGATTGTGATTCTATAGACGGATCAATATTGGGATCTATATTTGAATCCATATTACTCTTTTTGATAATGATCTGTTTAGTGGTCAATTTAATCGTTTGTTTTCACTTATTCGTTCTTTACGTGTATCTTAATTTAATTAATATAAAAAGCGTGTTATAGCAACGGGTAATTAAAAAAGAAAGCGCGATCATCACATAAGTGATTACAAAGCATAATATGTAGCTCCAAGAATTGTAATACAATAATTTTAATATGGTTTGGTGAATTATGATTGAGATAGACTTAAATAGCATTGAAATACTTGATGGTAAATTACGGAGAAATAACATATAGAAAGCTTTAGCCTTGATCGACCAGATATATTAAGTGACTTGTGATCTATCATGCTTTAGATCTTGATTGACCATTCTATATTCTAGTGGCCATATATAAACCAAAAATTCTATTTGTAGTTAGCAAGAAATGAGATATCAGCAATATGGTATATGAGGTTATTATCAAATTCCAATTGAAGGTATCAAAATAAGGGTTCAATATTGGTTTCGTCAGATTCACAAAACCTGGAGAGCAGGTTCATGAAACTAGTTCAAATGTGGACAACTGAACTAGCTGTGAATCCTTAACCATTGATTGAGAATATTCTAATGATGACATTACCAAGAAGTTCAAAGCATAATAGAACAATAGCTGATACGTATATGAATCCAATGTCTTTAATATGTTCAATTGTCAGTATATATACAGTGATCAGTACCGTCGATTTGTTTCATCTTCATACAATTTGATTATTTCCGAAAGCAGAAGAATCATTGATTTTGATTTTTTGTAGGCGTAGTTTGGAATCTAACAATAGAACAAAATCAGCAATTTTAATCATTTTCTACCACAGAACGAGATAAATAAACCTGAGGAATAATGGAATATACTCTATATCTAACTAAATGTCCAATACATACTTTCAATCACTTTTAAACATCCTTTTTAACTGATTTTAGAGGTAACTATAAGCTAACCGTAGTACATTTCCGAGGCCTATTTAAAGCCGGGTGACATAGTCGGAACTGCCTCTTTGCGCGGTGAATCTCGATTCGCTGGCCTCATTTTTCACATTCTCTCTTTTTCCTTTTGGATTTTGGATCCCCCTATAACTTTGAACTTTCAACTTCCTTTCAACTTGACAATTTGTATCATTTGTTATACTTATTTCATCAAATAATCATTCAAAAATGGACGGAGGTAAGTTCTAACACATTGCAATCATCAGGGAAGTGGAATTTTCATTATATCTATGGGTTTTCAGCTTGAGATCTCTCGAGATTGTTGTCAGATCACAATTGATCAAAAGAGTGCCGTCAAAAAGGTGATTTCGGATTTGAAATTATCAACAACATCAACAAAATCAATGAAAGTCATCATCAATTGGATAACAAGTATATATTCAAGGTTCTACCATATCAAATTTATCAAGATTATAACCAGATACCTCACAATCGTTGACTTATCTCTAGTTGATTTCCCGAAAGTGCACGCGCTTTGGAAGATAAGCTAGGATTATTTATGGGTTTCAGATACAAGAATCAGAACCACAAAAAAAGGGGTCAACAAACAAAATCAATTGAATTAATTTCCCCATAAGGAATCTTTTCAACAATAACTATACAATCTTTTGATCTTTATTAGTTGAGTTTGTTATTCATTTTGTTGTTCTTGGATCAGATTTTCCAATTTGGCGCTTGTTTTTCAAAGATTTTTAGTACCCTTTTCGTTTTGGCAAGTTTCCGAAATTTCGGATTTTTTATTCTACAACATTCTCAAAGGAGTTGATTCGGTATTACAACTCACAATTAAGTCAATTGATGATGATGTTATACTTATCCAATATAATGTCGATATTTCATCTCTCTCTGATACAGAGATCTGACTTAGCTGAACCATAATGAATTTCCATTTACCTTCCCATATAATTGTTTGAACCAAATACTAACAAATTTATCAATAGAAGAAATTGCAGCTGTAAGTGAAACTTAATTAAATTAGTATATTAATTTAGATCTTGTTGATTGAATTGATTGTGGTTAGTGATAATCAATTGATATCAATATTTTTTACAATGGATCGGAATGATCAACATTCTCCATAAAAAATTTAAAATGCCACAAAATTTTTATCAACAAGTATTGAATTTTTTTTTTCACAAAAGACAATGAATACTAACATTATGTTCTTATAGTTAGTTATTGATAACGGTTCTGGTATGTGTAAAGCCGGTTTCGCCGGTGATGACGCTCCACGTGCTGTTTTCCCATCAATTGTTGGTAGACCAAGACATCAAGGTATCATGGTTGGTATGGGTCAAAAAGATTCATACGTTGGTGATGAAGCTCAATCAAAAAGAGGTATCTTAACTTTACGTTACCCAATTGAACATGGTATTGTTACCAACTGGGATGATATGGAAAAAATCTGGCATCATACTTTCTACAATGAATTACGTGTTGCTCCAGAAGAACATCCAGTTTTATTAACTGAAGCTCCAATGAACCCAAAAACCAACAGAGAAAAAATGACTCAAATTTTATTTGAAACTTTCAACGTTCCAGCTTTCTACGTTAACATTCAAGCTGTTTTATCATTATATTCTTCAGGTAGAACTACTGGTATTGTTTTAGATTCAGGTGATGGTGTTACTCACGTTGTTCCAATCTATGCTGGTTTCGCTTTACCACACGCTATTTTAAGAATTGATTTAGCTGGTAGAGATTTAACTGATTACTTGATGAAAATCTTATCTGAACGTGGTTATTCATTCACTACTACTGCTGAAAGAGAAATTGTTCGTGATATTAAAGAAAAATTAGCTTATGTTGCTTTAGATTTCGATCAAGAATTACAAACTTCAGCTCAATCATCAGCTATTGAAAAATCATATGAATTACCAGATGGTCAAGTTATTACCATTGGTAATGAAAGATTCAGAGCTCCAGAAGCTTTATTCCACCCATCATTATTAGGTCTTGAAGCTGCTGGTATTGATCAAACCACTTACAACTCTATTATCAAAACTGATGTTGATGTTAGAAGAGAATTATATGGTAACATTGTTTTATCTGGTGGTACTACTATGTTCCCAGGTATTGCTGAACGTATGCAAAAAGAAATTACTGCTTTAGCTCCATCTTCAATGAAAGTTAAAATTATTGCTCCACCTGAAAGAAAATACTCTGTCTGGATTGGTGGTTCTATCTTGGCTTCATTATCTACTTTCCAACAAATGTGGATCTCAAAACAAGAATATGATGAATCTGGACCAGCTATTGTTCACCACAAATGTTTCTAAGTTGTTTTATAAACATTTTATTAAAATTTTCAATTTAATCATATTCTTGAAGTTAATTTTTTGAAAGAAAAACTTTAGTGAATTTAATAATAAACAAAAAAATATTTCTTATTATAAATCTTAGTCTATTTTTTTTGTTTTGAATAGTGTATTGTTTGTACCCTTTTTTTTTCCTGATCTATACAAAATCTATGTGTTGAATAAATGTAATTTTTCTTAAGACAGTGATTTTCAAGGGAACGACGTAGCGCTAGTTTCTAAAATATGGCAGACAGATATTTTCGCCTTGAAGATGAATATGGCCTACTTGAATATAACTGATACTGATTATGTTGAACAGCGCTCTGTCCGACGACCGATGGCAATTAATTTTAATTGTTAATCATATTAAAGATCAATGTTCAATACGTACGTATAACGTGGAACCGGCTATCATAATTATATATAATAATTAGTATAAATTATAATCGGTTTTGATAATGAATTATATATATATTCAAACATATTTTGAACTACTAGTACGTACTCTGCATTACAATATCTCCATTTTATATATGATTAAACTTCAATTAAAACACTATATATACCTTATTAATACCTATAAATACCGCGTATAAACCAACAAATTAATATACTTTAATAAAAAACCAAACTAAATCTTAAAATATGATACTTTTTTAAATCAATATAGATTGTACAAATAATTGACTTTTCTTCCTTTTTTGAATTGAATAATTTCGAGATCCTAATTTTCATGAATCTTCTTCTTTTTTGTCATTCTTGATTCTTTAATTCGTTAATACTTTTCTTCTTTTATTTTTTTTCTTTTATTATCTATTACATTTTTATTTTTCTTTCATTTCATTTCATAAATATTTTTCTTCTTTCTTCATTATCTTTTCTTCATTATTGTTTCCTTTTTTATTCCTTTTATTGATCTCTACATCTTGTTGACCAACCTTTAATATCTTCACCACAACAACCACAAGGTCTATTAATAAACCCACAATTTTTCACATCATTTAACCAATCATGATTTGACCAACCACCAGCATCAACTCTATATTTTGGATCAATTTTAAGCATTGGAGTTAAAAATTCATCAATTTCTTTTGCAATTTTTGGATCCATTTTATATTTTTGTTTTAAAACATTTTGTAAATCCCAATATTTTAAATTTTTAATTCTTCTTAAAGTTTTATAATCAGAATGGAAATAATCTGGTGCATATTTACAATCATACATAAATTGATAAGAAACATCTTGATCATCAATTAATTCCAAGATTTGTGCAATATGATCATCATCTTTGGTATAATTTTTACCATTCTTAGGGTCAAATAAATAATCTCCTGTAATTAATTCAAAAATTAAACATGCACAAGACCAAATATCTGTTGAACAACCCCATTTATGACCTAATAAAATTTCTGGTGCACGATATTGACGAGTTTGAATATCATTTGTAAAATGTAAATTATTAAAACATGCATTACCAAGATCAGCTAATTTGACATTAATAATCGATGATAAATCATTTGTTTCTTCATGTTCATTTAAATTAAAATCTTGATTTAAGAAATTTGAATCATCAATTGATATTGATGAAAATCTTGAATTTAATTCTTGATCTTCATAAGTATAATTTAATGGAGATTCAATTACATTCTCATCATTAGTTTCTTCATCATCTTCATCATCAGAATTTGCTTCAGAAGCACAAACAACATAAGAAGTTAAATTTGATGAAGTTGCAGGGGAAGTTGATTGATTTTGATGATTTGAAAAAACTGGAGAATCAGGGGTATGTTCATCATCATAACATTTTATTGAACCAGCACTTGAAGTTGAAGATAATTGATGATGATGATTAGATTGATTTTGATAACTATTTGATTTTGATAATGATTTGTTTTGTTTATTTTGATTATTCTTCTTTAAAGCTTGAGAAAAATAATCTTGGAAATCAAAACTTGATGATGAAGTTAATGGAGATGGTAATGGTTTTGAACATTTTATAGGAGATTGGAAACTTGAAGATCTTGAATGTAATTTTGATTTGGGGTTTTGAGAACCAGAATTTTCATGTTGATTAGATTTTTTATTAAATTTCATTAATTTAACAAATTCTTCAACATTTTTAATTTCTAATAGAATATTTTCTGGTTTAATATCTGTATGAATTAAACCACATTCTCTATGTAAATAATCTAATGCTAATAATAATTGTTTTGAAATTTGTTTTGTTATTGAGATTGGTAATCCACCATAAGTTTTCTCTAAATTTGATAATTTAATTGATAATTCACCATTTGATGAAGAAGAAGATGGATTTGAGTTTGATTCAGAATTGAATTTGTTAATCAAACCCAACATATTTTCACCCAAAACTTCAAAAACCATACAAACATGTTTCCCATTTGGACCATTATGATAAAACCAATCATGTAATTTAATTAAATGATCATAACCAGGATGATTTGGATTTTTTTTATTAATGATATCTAAAATTTTAATTTCATCTAAAGCAGCTTGAGTATAATGAGATTGAGATCTAACAATCTTGATAGCAACATGATTATCATGTCTTTTATCGTAAGCTAACCAAACAGTACTAAAATGACCCCAACCTAATTTTCTTAAAATTTGATAATTTTGATTTAAAACTTCATGAATTTCAACAGGATGATAACCACCATAACAATAATCATTTTCATCTTCTTCATTTTTCAAATCAACTTCTTCATCATCTTCATCTTCTTCATCATAACTTTCATTTTCATCTTGATCATCATTTATTGATTCTTTAATTGTACTATTATGACTTATTGAAGAGAAAGAATGACGATGTTTAATAATTTGAGGGTTAAAACTATCAGCACGATGTAAAGAAGGATGATGTTCAGTGTTTATGTACAGGTTTGGATGGATTTTGGTATTATCATGGAAAGTTTTAGGGATTTGAGAATTTGAACTTGATGAACTTGATGAATTTGAATTTTGATTATTTTGATACAAGAAGGGTACTTGATATTGATTTGTTTTCAACATGATCAACTGTTAATCTGGGATGATTATACCACAATGTGTACTTTTAGCCAATTTAAATGAGCTTTCTAATTGTATAATTTAGCAATATTATAACTTTTGAATATTTGATTATATATAGATAACAATTTGAGAATAATATTAATAATATCTTTTATATGGGGTGATTTTCCAAAGATTTGGTTCTTAGACTCCCTTGTTGAATATTATGCTGAGTATTTTGTATGAATGTTTTGTTTGATATCTTTGATTTAATAGTAGTTTATTGTTTTTTAGCTATGAGTTCTTTTTGAACAATAAAATTTGTTGAAAGTATTTCTTAATTATGGCTGATGGCTGCCAAACGTTTATATTCAATTTCATGATTTCCAATAAAACCACACTTTAAAAGAAAAAACAACGACCGGTTTTTTGCTTAGTCAGAGCTCAGGCAGTCACTCTGGGCAGAAATATTTTAAAATTAGGCAGAAAGTGCCAGAAACTCCCAGCCAAACAGCCAAACAGAGATCGGTGGACACTGACGGGCCAATGAGAAGCCACAGTTTGCGGGTGCGATAAGAAAGCGACAGCCTACAGAGAGCATAGATAGACAACATATCACAGTGTTAACAGAGCTACTTTTATTGTTATTGTGGTTCTTTAATCACCAATTAATCGCTTATTCTTAACAGTTCTAAAAATGGAATTATAAAATTTCCTTTGTTTGGTTCAAAAAAATTCCATTAAAATTCTGTGGATTTCCACAATTTTGAATTTTTTGAATTTTTGAGTGAATTTTGAATTTTCTTATATTTGCGAAGAAACGTGATCATCGGGGACTCGGATAATTAAACGTCCGCTGATCTCCTCAGCTTATATAATCGTAATAATTAATTGATTAGGTCATCATTGCGTCATAAAGCAATCATTACATAATACAAAGTCACATGATCAGTGATACACGTGACTTTATTTTTTTTTAGTGACACGAAATTGGCGACAGTCGCGTTTAAACATTTTTTTCAGTTCATTGCTTAAGCAAAATCAAAACAATAATGTAAAGAGTATAACTTAATCATTTCTCGGTGTTCATTGATATGAAGAATTCTAGAACTCCTACTAAATCAAAAGGTCAACCATCGATAAGTAGGTTCTTCAAAAGTTCTCCTAAAAAGCAATCAACACCGCCACAACAACAGAATGTTCAAACAATAAATATTGATGATGATGGCGATGACCAAATTGTTGAAATCATTAATAATGATGATATAAATGAAATCAAACCTTCAACTGTTAAAACCGAGGTGGAAATACCCAATGAAATAAATATTGAACGTAAGAAACAATTCCAATATGAGAAAACTACAGATATACCCATTATAAATCCAACTACTGAACAAATTTTACTTCGAGAAAGTTTAAAGGAAAAATTAAGTCAAAAATTCTCTACAAATAACAATCCACCCAATGGAGTTGAAGAATCACAACCTCAAAGTGATTTAGAAGATGATCAAACACCACAACCACCACCAAAGAAGAAACAAAAAACCTCAAAACAATCAAAATTAACACCGTTAGATCAACAAGTTAAAGATCTTAAATTATTACATTTAGATAAAATATTAGCTATTCAAGTTGGTTATAAATATAAATTTTATTGTGAAGATGCTGTTAAAGTTCATAAAATCCTAAATATTATGCTTGTCCCGGGGAAAATCAATATTATTGATGAATCTCCAACTGATAAATTATATAATAAATTAGCATATTGTTCAATTCCTGAACCAAGATTACATATTCATTTACAAAGATTATTAGATCGTGGATTGAAAATTGGTATTGTGGATCAAATAGAAACAAGTGCTATTAAATCAGTTGAAAGTAAGAATTCTGCACTATTCAAGAGAAGATTATCAAATGTTTTCACTAAATCAACTTATATTGAATATGATGAAGTTAATCAAGAAAAGGATAAAAATATAAATTCATTATTATCTATAGTGGAAGAATCTGTTGATCAAAATGATAATGTTTTGATAACTTTAGTTTCTATACAACCCTTAACTGGTGAAATTATTTATGATACTTTCCAAGATGATTTCTTGAGAAATGAATTAGAAACAAGATTATTACATATGGAACCAATTGAATTCATTTATTTTGAAAATGATATTTCTGAATTAACTGAATCTTGTTTCCAAAAATTTATATCAATAAATTCTTCAAATATAAGGATAAATAAAATTCCAATTTTGAAGAAAAAGTTTTTTGAATCTTATTTAAATGATTATGTATTGGATAATCCAAAATTATTTGAATTTATATCTGAACAATCTAAAGAATTCCAAACTTGTTGTTCTTTATTAATTGATTACCTAAAAGAGTTTCAATTAGATTCTTCATTTAAAATTGTTACAAATTATTCAAATTTTATTCAAAAAAATCATATGATTCTAAATTCAAATTCTTTAACAAACTTAGAAATTTTCATAAATTCAACAAATAATGAACAATTTGGTTCTTTATTATGGTTAATGGATCATACAAGAACAAAATTTGGTTATAGATTATTAAGAAAATGGATAAGTAATCCATTAATTGATCGTGAACAAATTGAAAAAAGATTTGATGCAGTAGAGAATATTCAATCAAATTTTAATCATTTTTTAGAAAATTTAGCAAATTTATTGAAAAATTCACCTGATTTAGAAAAAATATTGAATAGATTACATTATGGGAAAGTTAAAAGGAAAGAATTATATATTTTTTTATTTAAATTTGAAGAGATTTCTAAATTAATTATTAAATTTGGGAAATTTGAAATATTAAATAATCTAAAATCAAGTTATTTAAAACAATTATTCACTCAACTTATTGAAATTTCTGAATCTTTAAAAATATCAAATTATGTTTCTATGATTAATTCACCAAATGCAATGGATGATCATAATGATGATCATATCTTAAAATATTTCAATTTAAATACATTGAAAATTAATCAAGATGAAATCATAACGCAAGATATTGAAATTTCAAATATAAAAGATGAATTTCAAAAAGAATTACAAAACGTGCGTGATTTCTTAAAAAGACCATCAATGGATTATGTTACAAGTAGCAGAGAACCTTATCTTGTTGAAATTCGTGCAGGTTTATCAAGAATTGTTCCAAAAGATTGGGTCAAGATTAATGGATCAAAATTAGTTTCAAGATATAGAACTCCACAAATCATAAAACTGATGAAATTATTGGAATATCATATGGAATTATATTTAAAAGCTTGTCATTCAGTTTTCCAAAGATTTGTTCAAGATTTAGATAAAAATTATACTGAGTTAAACCAATTTATTAAAATTTTAGCACAATATGATTGTTTATTATCAATTACAACCACATCATCATCATTAAATTATTCAAGACCAAAATTTGTTGATGAACAAATTATACAGATCCAAAACGGTAGAAACCCGATAATTGAACAATTAAATACTTATGTCCCCAATGATATTGATATGAATTCTTCTCAATCTCGTTGTTTTATTATCACAGGTCCAAATATGGGTGGGAAATCATCTTATGTTAAAAAGGTTGCCCTTTTGATCATAATGGCTCAATGTGGTTGTTTTATACCATGTGAATCCGCAACTTTAGGTGTTTTCAATTCAATCTTAACAAGAATGGGATCAAAAGATGATTTAATTAAAGGTGAATCAACTTTTTTCATTGAAATGTCACAAATTTTAAATGTTATACAAAATTGTCATGGAAAATCATTAATTATATTGGATGAAGTTGGTAGAGGAACTGGAACAATTGATGGGATTTCAATAGCTTCATCAATTTTACAATATTTAATGACTGAAACTGAAAAATCTTTGATTTTATTTATAACTCATTTCCCATCAATCTGTAAATTATCAAAAAAATTCTCCAAGATTAAAAATTTCCATATGGGTTATATTGAAGAAAAGAAAACTGAGAATGATTGGCCAAAAGTTACATTTTTATATAATTTAGTCCCCGGAATTGCTAAGAACTCTTATGGGTTGAATGTTGCTAAATTAGCTTCAATAAATGATGAAATTATTCATAATGCTTTTGAAATCTCAAGAAAAAGACAACAACAAGTTGAAAGTGCACAAAATTTGGCAAATGAAAGGAAATTAGTTGAATTGTTTCCAAAAGTGCTAAAGGGGGATAAAATAGAGGAGATTTGTGATGTTATTGATGATTTTGATTGACGATGGAAAATTAGAAACTTTATATATAGACATTATCAACTATTATAGATGGATGTGAATTGTCACATTTTAAAGATTTGAGAGAAGAATAGTAGACCATTATATCCGTAATATAACTAACCTTGGCTAGCATGGATAATGTTCTGAGATCTTTATGATGTATAACTACGATGTAATAATTTCAGAAAAACTGTTGTTTGTTTGGATGAAATCTGTACATGTAAAATATCTATATAAGTAATGAATAACTTTTTTTTCGAAATCTTTTCCTAAACCAAATAAAACAGAAAACCATATGTGCTATATGTACAGTATATAAAAAAGAGTCAAAAACATGTAAATGAAGGATGATGAATGCTAATTTTTTTTCAAAACTTCTGCTGGACTTGCTGGACTGATAAAGAAAACAAATACTCATAAAAATCCAAAGAACTAAAAACCTTAAATGAAAAAACCATAATAAAACAATAAAATATAAATACAAATGACAAAACATTCAAAAAAAGCATACATCATACCATAACCAAGCAATCATATCAAAACTTTGTCTTAAAAATACTTTTACTATTAGTTCTTGGTCTGCTACCACTTGTAACAGTATAAGATATTGAACCATATGAATTACCAGTACCATAGATCAAAGATTCATCATTTTGTGCACCATCATGAATCAAGGTCATTGAATTGAAATCACCAAATGGGTCTGTTTCTTCATTTAATTCATCATCAAGATCTAAAGCTTTTTGTAAAATTTGTTCCTTCGATATATCTATTGAAGATTGTTTATTTGCTTGACCACTTTTATGGAAATCTGTACCATTCTTTGATAGAACTGGAATCATTGGTGGTTTTTGATTTCTTAATAATGCCCATTGTGTATTTTTGAAAAAAGCATGATTTTTAATATCAGATGCACCAAGTTTAGAACCCAATCTTTTATTTTCATCTTTAATTAATAGCTTTTTGATCAAATTCTTACAATTTGAAGAAACAGCTTGAGTATCAGGGAAAGTTATATCACTTTTCAAAATTTGTGAAAATGTTTGATTTCTATTTGGACCTTTGAAAGGTGTTGTACCGAATAACATTTCAAAAACTAAAATACCTAAAGTCCACCAGTCAACCGCAGCTGTATGACCTTTACCTCTAATAACTTCTGGCGCAATATATTCTTCAGTACCAACGAATGAATTTGTTCTATAACCATCAATACAAACTTTTGTATCTAAAGTTTGATAGTTCTTGTTATTATTAAAGCTCATTGATGGATTTTTAATTGATTCTGATTGTTTTGATAAATCAAAATCGGACAACATGATATGACCAGATTGATGCAATAAAATATTCTCAGGTTTCAAATCTCTATAGATGAACCCCATCAAATGTAAATATTCTAGAGCGGCAACAACTTCACTTGCATAGAATTTGGCATCCATTTCAGGAATACATTTTGATTTTCTAGTTTGTAAAGCTCTGAAGAATTCACCACCCATACAATATTCCATACAAAGGTATAAATGATCTTCAGATTGGAATGAATGATATAATGTAACAATGAATGGATGATTTGAGGTTGCTAAGATTTCTTGTTCAGCTAAAGCTCTCTTGATCTTATTTCTTTCAATCATTTCCTTTTTACTTAAAACTTTCATGGCATATAACTTATCTGTAACTTTTTCTCTAACCAAATAAACTTTACCCACATCACCTTTACCTAATAATCTGATTTTATCAAATGATTGAGGACCAACTTGCAGTTCTGAAACTTTGATAGCATTTGAAGATAAAAATGATTTTTTACGTGGTCTTGTTTTTGATTCTGATATACCTCCCAGTTTCTTTTCAGAATCAGAATGTACTTCATTTGAATTTTGATTGAGACCTAATGGAGCAGATGCAACTCTTCTTAAAAGTGGTTTATTCCCCTGTTGTTGCTGGGTTTGTACTTGTAGTTTTCCACTATTAATGCTGGTCTTTCCATCCCCGTTTGAAGATTCAGTCTGTTGTTCATCACCTTCGGGTATCTCTGACTCATGTTGTACATTACTGGATTCTTCAGCTATTTGATTTAATGATAATTGAGAGCCTGTATGGTTCTTTTTTAAGGCAAATGGTAAAGGACCATGACCAACCCCTGAGGTCCCATTATCAATGATATCTTTGAAAGTATCATCACCAGCATGTGGCGGTAAACCTTGATGAGCAAAGTAAGGGTGTGAAGAGACGAAATTACTCTTGGATTTAGCTTCGTCTTTTTGGTTTATATTTGGTGGGTTCGGTGATGATGGTGAGCGTAACCTTCTAGCCGCCTGGGCCAACTTAGAGCCAGTCTTTGTTGATAATGAGGTTGTTGATGTTGTTGTAAGTGGTGTTGAAGTTGAAGATGATCCATTTTGTTGTGTTTGTTCTTCCAAAATTTCAGTTGGCTGATCCAGAGTCTCTTTAACAAGTTCACCATTTTGATGTAGAGTTGATTCATGGATTTGTGCAGGATTCTCTAAAGTGAAATCTTTATCTTCATTTTGTAGTTTGAATTCAGGTTTTGTGGTGGCCAGATTTGGTGATGTTGTGTTTGAATTTGAATTGATCTTGAAAAAATTCTTGATCTTTGAAGACAGTTTCTTTTCCTCTTGTGAATTTATAGATCCATCTTGTTTATATTCTGGTGTACTTGTATCGTTGAGTGTTTCCGAATGTTTTTCAGTTAAAGGTTCAACGTTTGGTGATAATGGTTCATGGATTTTGGCTTCATGTGGCTGTTCAAGTTCTTCATGTTCATCGAGAGTTGTTGTATCTGATGGTTCCTTCTTTGAGTTGTTACCAAAACTGAACACTTTACCCAGAGACATTGATCTTGTTCTCAACTTGGATAATGGGGGTGTTGATGGTTGAAGGTTTTGTGTAGCTTCATTATTTGAATTTCCGACAGAAGCAGGTGAGGCAGCAATATCAGAACCAGAATTACCGACAACAGGATCTTGATTTCGACTGGAAGCCTTGGAAAGTGATTCTGGAGTTGGAGATCCAGTAGCTGAGTTTGATTTTATTGGATCATGATTGAACAAAATGTTTCGACTGTTATCACGTAGTGCAGTGCTAGTCATATTGACAGCACGGGGTATTTATAGATTTGATTTTTTTCGAATTTGTAATGAAGGATGATTGACTTCTTGAAGCTGAAACTATTGAAAAAACTTTTGCTTCCAAGCTGAGATCTTGATTGAATATATTCTTGTGACTTTCTAGTATGTTTTCTTTATCTCTTTGATGATGTTCTCTCACAGTAATATTAGAAAAACACTGCCAGGTTGAACGTAGCTTTTGATCGAGGGTTCTCGTGTGCGTGAATAGGGGACGGGATCTAAGCTGTGTTGGAAATTCCCTTGATATGCAATTTGATGAACAGTTGATAGAGGATTATAGTGTCTTTATTTCAAAGATTAATAACCTTTGATAGCAATATCACTCGACAATCTAATTATTATAAGGGTTTGAAATTTTAACTCTTAATTTGAAAGTTTAATTATGTTGGAGTCTTTTGGTTTTTGACTAAGCAAATTCGAGAAATTGTTGATTTTTGCTGATTAAGTTTTTCTGGAATATTAAACGCGCGCGCTTCCAACGCCAAAAATCAACAAATTAACCAACATTACCTCTATAAAGTGGTGGTTGATTACACTGTTAGTATGCTTGTTTTCAGTTATTGTGGATATTATCATTCTTTATACCAGAGTGGGTAATATGATTCTCAAGTTTAAAGTACTACTCTAGGAAGCCTAGTCGTTGTGCTGTTGATCTAATGTGGAGTTGTTGTTTGTGCCACCATGAGGTTACTGGATTGAGACAAGATGCACCCAGATTAGGATTAAAATCAGTTTAGAGTCTGAAGATACCAAGATCCAGAGATCAATTATGGTCGGCAATTATATAAGCCCCGTGTTTATTAATTGGTGCCTCCAGTTTATATCTCAAAAGGCGATTGACTGATGAACATATTCCTAAGGATTGGAAAGGGAATTTATTAGATACGCGAATTATCAAGGCTAACGCACACATATCCATGAAAATCCATTATGAGAAACCCGTTAGGTTCAGTTTACAAATTATTTTCAACTAGATCAATGGCCTATTCCACTTAATGTTTCAAGCTATTTCCTATTTCATCGATCCTATCAATGGATCAAATTTGACAGTTCATTCTAGATTCTGGAATTCTAAAAGCCCTCCATATTTCGCGGCTTCAATTAAGCATTTACGATAGTTTATGTAATGCATTGTCCAAATACAGCTTATTTTTTGATACAACTGCCAGAAGTCTAGAACCAGCTCTTATTTTTCAGAAGAAAGACGAATTTCACAACATATATATACATATACCATGTGCTTAAAGTTATGATTTGAGGGCTTAGTAGAAGTTATAAAGTTTGTTCTTTAATGTGTCAATTGTTAGATTTTTGTTTCATGCTGAGGCTCGGTTATTATGGTGGGTGGTCCGAACCAGAAAACATTCCAATTATTATACATGAAACATTTTTGATACCAAGTTTAATTGAACTAACAATTTGCATGAATTTGCAAGATTAATTGTGTTAATCATAACCGTTACTTGCTAAGGATAGAGAATGCATATACTATTTTTAGTCGCTTATACTCTAGGGCCCCCAAGATGCGCGTTATCATTGCTTTAGTGCTTTTTAAAGCTTTTTGAAAAAGATTTACCATATAATGTTTGAAGTTTGTTACAAGTTGAACGGTTTGAAAGCTTAGTCGGTATTGTCTTGATACACTTGTCAATATGCAAAAGTTCTAGGTAACTGATGATGTTCAATGTATAAAAATGAGTTGATTTTCTCAATTTGATATACCTTTTGAATATGTTCATTTTGGTTAATTATTTTTTACAACATTCCAAAGATCACAATTACATTAAAGGCACTTTGCTCTATTGTTTCTTAAAACTATATAAAAGGATTAAGAAGCTCAATATTCTCAACTACTTTTCTTGCTTGGTTAACAAATAGACTATACAATATATTCAAATCCAACCAATACCCCATTCATTCGTTTAATTCAAGCTCATAGGTATTTGGAAAAATGAGAGTGTCACTCGCTTATAAATTACTCTCATCATCATTGGCGTTGGTTCAGGCTTTACCAACAGCTGAATTTTATGCTAATTCAACATTTAACGGTCAAGTCTCTTCAGATGCTGCTTCTGCTTCTTTGAAATCAGATACTGAAAGCAACTTTGTTTATTCACCAACAAGTAAAAGAACAGATCATTCATCAACAGAAAATTTTGAAGCTTCTGCTAATTTAGATGCCTCAGCTTCTCACTCTGAATCAGGTTCATCATCAAATTTTGAAGCTTCAGCTCATTTCGATGCTTCAGCTCATTTTGGCTCATCAAGTTCTAAATCAGACTCTTCATCATCCTCAGATTTTGAAGCTTCAGCTCATGGTGATTCATCCGTTCATGTTGGAAGTGAATCAGGCTCAGAAGGCTCATCCCAAGCTTCATTATCATCTCCAATTATTCAATCAACCGCAACTGAAAGTTTAACTGAACATACCATTGTTACCATCACTTCATGTAGTGATAATAAATGTGCTACACAAACTTCAAAAGCTTTGAAATCAATTGCTACCGTTACAGTCACAGGTGTCGAAACTCAATATACTACATGGTGTCCATTAACAGAAAGTGAAAGTTCAGCTACATCAAGTGCTATCAAATCTTCTGCTACACCATCTTCAAAAGTTGTTAAGGAATCCTCAGCTCCAGCTTCAAGCTCATCCTCAGCTCCAGCTTCACATGCTACAGAATCATCAGGTTCAATAGAAAAATCATCTAGTGCTCCAGTTGCTTCTTCATCAGCATCAGCTTCTGTCGAGTCTAGTGGTTCAGTTTCTTCATCAGCTTCATCTACTTCTATTGCTCCAAAAGGTTCTTCTTCATCAGATTCTCCATCATCAGGTTCATCATCATCTCCAATCACTCAATCCACTGCAACTGAAAGTTTAACTGAACATACTATTGTTACCATCACTTCATGTAGTGATAATGCATGTTCCACACAAACTTCAAAAGCTTTGAAATCAATTGCTACCGTTACAATCACAGGTGTTGAAACCCAATATACTACATGGTGTCCATTAACAGAAAGCGAAAGCTCAGCTACATCAAGTGCTATCAAATCTTCTGCTACACCATCTTCAAAAGTTGTTAAGGATTCCTCAGCTCCAGCTTCAAGCTCATCCTCAGCTCCAGCTTCACATGCTACAGAATCATCAGGTTCAATAGAAAAATCATCTAGTGCTCCAGCTGCTTCTTCATCAGCATCAGCTTCTGTCGAGTCTAGTGGTTCAGTTTCTTCATCAGCTTCATCTACTTCTATTGCTCCAAAAGGTTCTTCTTCATCAGCTCCAGCTCAAGGCTCCAGCTCCAGCTCCAAGGCATCCTCAAAATTGACTGTTGTTACTGAAACTCATTCAGGTGTGGTTACTTCATTCACAACTTATTGTCCAGAAACTGCAACTGAACATGAATCAGAACATCACGAATCATCAGCTCCAGCTTCAAGTGCTAAAGTTTCATCATCTGGATCTGCTCATGTCAGTACTACTTCAATTTCACCAGCTGCTACTACCTCAACTGCAGAAGATAAGAAATCATCAAGTGCTACAGCTGAATCAAGCTCTAAAGCTTCATCAAAGATCACAGTTGTTACTGAAACCCACTCAGGTGTTGTCACTTCTTATACTACATACTGTCCAGAAACTGCTACTGAACATGAATCTGAACATCATGAATCATCAACTGCTACTGAAGTTACCTCAAGTGCTCATAGAGAATCTTCATCTGCTCCAGCTCCATCAGCCTCAGCTACTGCATCAACTGGTAAAGCTTCCACTTCAGAGGTTAAAGAAAGTTCATCATCAGCTCCAGCTACATCAGGTACATCAACTGGTGAAGTTAAACAAGGTTCATCATCAGCTCCGGCACCAGCTTCATCAACTGAATCAAAAACAAGTGTTGCTCCAAAGAACTCATCTTCAGCACCAGCACCACAAGGTTCATCATCTGAAACTACTGCTAAATCAAGTGCCCCAGCTCCATCTGCTCCAGCTTCATCAGGTAAATTAACTGTTGTTACTGAAACCCACTCTGGTGTTGTTACTCAATACACTACCTTCTGTCCAGAAAGTTCTTTAGAACATGAATCTTCAGGTACTCCAGCTACTTCTACTCCAGCTGCTACCACCTCTGGTGAAGTCAAACAAGGTTCATCATCAGCTCCGGCACCAGCTTCATCAACTGAATCAAAAACAAGGGTTGCTCCAAAGAACTCATCTTCAGCACCAACACCACAAGGTTCATCATCTGAAACTACTGCTAAATCAAGTGCCCCAGTTCCATCTGCCCCAGCTTCTTCAGGTAAATTAACTGTTGTTACTGAAACCCACTCTGGTGTTGTTACTCAATACACCACATTCTGTCCAGAAAGTTCTTTAGAACATGAATCATCAACTGGTACTCCAGCTACACAAACTGAATCAACTAAAGAAAGTTCCTCAACTCCAGCCCAAGGTTCAACTACCCCAGCTTCTACAGTTCCAAAAGAAACTTCAGGTACTACCACTGGATCCTCAGAAGATAAAGCTTCATCAACTACTCCAGCTTCTTCAGCACCAGAAAAAGAATCAAGTGCTCCAGCTCCATCATCAACCACACCAGGTAAAGTTACAGTTATCACATCTACTCATTCTGGTCAAGTTACTGAGTATACTACTTACTGTCCAGAAAGTGATTCATCAAAAACTTCAGTTGCTACTGGTTCAGCTCCATCTCCATCAGCTCCAGCTAAAGAATCAACCACTGAAACTCCAAAAGCCCCATCATCAGCCCCAGTTGAATCAACTACCAAGACTCCAGAAGCTTCATCTACTCAACCAACCGAAGAAACCACTGGTCCAGCTCCAAAACCATCTACTCCAGCTCAAGAATCAAGTGCTCCAGCTCCAACTACTTCTGCCCCAGCTCAAGTTTCATCAACTACTTCAGTTGCTCCAAAAGATTCTACTGCGGAAACCAAAGAAGTTCCATCTTCATCAGCTCCAGGTAAAGTTACTGTTATCACATCAACTCATTCTGGTAAAGTAACTGAATATACCACTTACTGTCCAGAAAGTGAAACTGGTTCTTCAAGTGCTCCAGCTGTTCCGTCTACTCCAGCTTCAGGTAAAGAATCCACAACTCCAGCTTCATCAGTCCCAGCTAAGGAATCAACCACTGAAACTCCAAAAGCTCCAGTTGAATCAACTACAAATACACCAGAAGGTTCATCAGCTCCAGCTCCAAAACCATCTACTCCAGCTCAAGAATCTAGTGCTCCAGCTCCAACTACTTCTGCCCCAGCTCAAGTTTCATCAACTACTTCAGTTGCTCCAAAAGATTCTACTGCTGAAACCAAAGAAGTTCCATCTTCATCAGCTCCAGGTAAAGTTACTGTTATCACTTCAACTCATTCTGGTCAAGTCACTGAATATACTACTTATTGTCCAGAAAGTGAATCATCAAGTACTCCAGCTGCTACCGGTTCTTCTCCAAGTGCTCCAGCACCAGCTCCAGAATCGTCTTCTCAAGCTTCAAGTGCCCCAGCCCCAGCACCAGAATCTTCAACTCCAGCTGCTTCTACTACTCCAGGTCAATCAAATGCTGTTGAAACTTCATCAACTCCAGCTCCTAAACCAACTCAAGAAGCTTCAGCTCCAGTTCCAAGCTCAATTGCTGCAACTACTTCAGCTGTTCAATCATCACCAGTTACTCCACCATACAGTACTCAAAATGATACCACACTCACTGAAAATGTTCAAGTTTCTTCATTAGTTGGTCAAACTACTACTCAAGTTAACAACACTACAGCTACAGATACAGCTCCAACTACACCAGTTGTTCAATCATCACAATCAGCTCCATATAGTCAAAACAATGGTACTACTACAACTGATCAAACTCCAGCTGCTTCAACTCCAATCAGTGCTACTATTCCAATTGTTTCACAAATTAGTGATGGTCAAATTCAAGCACCAGCTCCATCAACTGCAGTTGCTTCAAATGGTACCACACCAGCTGTTACTGTTCCAGGTGCTTCAACTACTCAATTATCACCAAGTTCAGCACCAGCTAATGGTTCATATGCTGGTCCATCAATTTCAAGTCAAGTTTCTGGTACAAGTTCAGTTGCAGCAGTTTCTCAATATGAAGGTTCCGGTTTTGATTACAAGAGAACTGGTTCAAGTGGTGCAGCCATTGGTGTTGCTTTAATGTTGGTTAGTTTCTTATAAGAATGATTTGATATCAGTTTATTGGATGAGAAATTATTATACCCTCATATCTTATTTTATGTATAGACCTTATTTAGTTATTGTTTTTTTAATTTAAAGTACACTAAAGTTTTAAATAAATGTTGATTTTTGTATATTATAATGTATTACAATCTATTATAAATGACCAAACTTGATTATGTTGTATCGATTATGAAAGACAGTTTCAAAATTTAACCTTTCACAATATCCCATGAAGCTTCAGTTATTGAAACTTCAGAACCTTTATTATCATCATAATCATAATATTCACCTTCATCTATTTCAATTTCTGAGAATTTAGTTGTAGATTCAGCACCTTTTGCTTCAAATAAACCCTATATATCGTTAGTCCGAAATTCAATCGTAAAATTAATGTCACTATAATACTTACTTCAGGAATGAATCTTAAAACATCTAATCCACGAGCATCAATATTCAAGATATCAACAGATTTACCGTTATCTTCAATTGTGTAATCTTTTTTAGTTCTTTCTATGGCTTCATGATAAGGATTAGTCATACATATTCTTGAAATTTTAAAGTCCGATGTTTAATTAACTTACAAGCTGAATGTTCCCTCTAATGAGAAAATAGTTAGTATTAAATCTTAGCCTATCTGAAAACTTTTCTTATGACTCACTTTACAATTCTTGCACTTGAATACAAAATTTGCTTCACCTTTACTACGATCCATCTCATGTTGTTCAAATCTATTGATTGTAACAAATTTATCATGAGTTTCACGACATGAGATACAAGCAATTTCAAAAGTGTATTCAAATGGTGATTCCGCAGTATCAATTGGACGGAGGTCAGTGAGACCTTCCAAGTTGGCCTTAAGCACAAGTTTCAAACCCATTTTAATTGATTTTATGAAGAATGGGAACTGTGGTAGAATAAATGCGGATTCCAACGCACTTATATACCTTTTCTAATGTACTGTGTAAATATTACTAGTATGATGGA